TGCTGCTCAGCTGAAAACCAATCTCCTGCCAGCCTGTTCTCTCTCCCGCCCACGTGTTTCCCTCTGCGGGGGACTGCAGGCCTGGCTGGCCTGAGTGAGTCTCTGAGCACAGGGGGGCAGGACTCCAGGGTTCTGTCCCTGGATCTGTATCCCCGGGGGAGGGTCGAGGTAGAGGGAGAATCTGTGGGGCAAAGGGGGAAACGCCACCATGATAAAACATTCCTAAAGGGGAAGGAGTGGAAATGCTGGGGGTTCGCATTGAACTGGAGGGGAAAGTGCCCGGGGCAATGCAGCAACTGACCGGACCTGGGAGCCGAGCCACAGGGCCTGGGCTAGCGGGAGGGACGCCAGGGGCCAAATCCAACCTGAGTGGCAGGGATCACAAGGCCACTCCGGCTCAGAGCCCCTCCTCCTGCCGGGAGGCGCAGATCCGGCTGCAGCTCTCTGCGCCCCGGGAGAAGGTGATAGCAGAGCCCGTCGCTCAGCAGGGCAGCTGCTGCCCCGAGACTGGCCCTGGCTGGCAGCAGGAGCCGACAGCAACGTGCACTCAGCAGGGGCAGGGCTGGCTGGGCGTAGCAGCACAGGCTGGGTTTCAGGCCAGGCTGCATTCTGGCCCCAAGGGGGAATATGGAGCATCAGATGGGGAAGAGCAGGGCCCCTGGTTTGTGAGCCTCTAGGGGTCACGTCTCCCAACTCCCCACGCCAGCCGTGAGGGTTAAAAATTTATTTTACGTGAAAAGTGGAGAGTCTCCTAATCACCAGACTCCAGGAGCTGGGGCTGGAAGACTCATGGCAAGATTGTGAGAGCTGGCAGCATTGAGCTGGGGCAGCAGTGCCCCGAGCCCCCTGCCGGTGCCTCGTGCTGCCCAGGGCAGAGTACAGGGGGCCGAGAACTCTGATTTGGGCACATTTCACACCTGCTTTGCACCGGGGGAAGGCGCCAGGGTGGGCAGAGTCAGCCCTGCGGGGAGGGGCAAGCCCACGCTAAGTGCCACAGAGGGAGGGCTTCTCCTTCTCTCTCCTCCATCCTGGCGCTAGCAGCCCAGGCCCCACCCTGGTGGCTTGTTGTGCAGGGCCATGCGAGCAGGGGGAGAGACTGTGAAACCAGGGCCCGAGGCTAATTGTGCTTGGCCGGGACAACAACAATAGGAAAGTTCTGATTGTCTAAAAAGATGTTGACGGAGCCTCTGGCGGGGCAGGAGCCAGGGGAGCCATTCCGGCCTCTGGCAAACAAAGGCAGGATGGCCACGCTCCAGGGTACATGGTGAACATGAGGTAATGCCCCTGGCCGGCCCAGGAGGCATGAGGACGGCCCTGGGCCCCCAGCCAGGCCCACAGCCCTGGAGGGGAATTGGCCAGGCAGAACAGGGCCTGGGGGAGCATGTGGGGTAGGGGCCTATCAGGCTGGCCAGGCTATGGTAAACCAGGGGAGGTGGTCAGGTGCTGCTTGCCCCTTCTCTGCCCCCATGCCCCACATATGGCGCTGGATGTGAAGGTCCATCTGCAGGGTAAGAAGCTACACCCCACGTGCTGGCTGCCTGGCCCCTGCGGGCAGCTTAATACACGCTCCTGCAGAGACCAGAGCGCCTGTCTGTCCTGGGCACGGTGCTCGGACCCGGCTGGGGGGAGGGTGCGGGGGAGCCACCCCATCTTCACTTCGGCCAGGGCCCGTCGATGGCCCCCAAAGAACCTGCAGCTACTCCATCCGCTCCCCGCTGGCCCTGAGCATTGCCCGGTCCTGCTCCCTGGCTGGAGTCACTGGGGATTGTGAACTCACATCCTAGGCTGGCGATGGAGGAATCGACCAAAAAGCTCTTTGAAGCCACCCGCGCTTGACCAGTTCCCTGCTTGAAAACAGGCTAGGCCGGGTTATTTTTGTCATGGATTGGGGCATATTCAGGCTGTGAACAGACATGGGCCAGGCTAGTTGGGCAGCCCAAGAGAGAAAAAGGCAGGGAAGCCCTGGTCCTATTCCTGGCACTGCCGCTTGCTTGCTGAGGGACCTTGGCTAAGTCACGCTGGGATTCCATGCCTCAGTTTCCCCAGGGGGGTGAGGAAGCTGACCCACTTCAGAGGTGTATTAGCTCATCAGTATGCATGGCCCTTTCCCAGAGGATGGGAAGGTCGTAGGGCTAGTTTGTCCTTAAGCACATTTAAGGACACGGCCTCCCGCCACCTGTCCGCTCGCTGCCAGGTGTAACTATAATCATATCTGGGGGAAGCAGGAGTTAATTCTGGCCGGGGAACGCAGAGCAGAGAGCTCCTCAATAAAAAGGGGACTAATTGGGGATAGACCGACTCCAGCTGCCTTCCCCTCGGCCAACCAGCTAAGCACAGGCCCCACTTAACAGATGAAGAAACTGAGGCACAGAGGGGGAAGTGATTTGCCCAGGGTCATGCAGGAAGCCAGTGGCAGGGCTGAGGATAGAACCCAGGAGTCCTGGCTCCCAATCACCCCCGCTCTAAACCCCCACTCCCCTCCTGGAGCTGGGAATAGAACCCAGGAGTCCTGGCCCCCAATCTCCTTTCTAACCTCCCTGGACAACACACTGCTCGTGGCCCTTTGCTGGTTCAACTGCGGATTTACTGCCGTGTGCAGCACGCTCACCTGCTCACGCTGGGGCATCGGCTGCCGGGGACGGGGAAACATGCTGAAGCCCCTGCCCTGTGCCAAGGGGCACCCCCCTCAGCGCCCCGCCGGCTGCTCTGTGCTGTTGGGATGCCCCTTGCCGTGCACCAGGGGGCGCTTGGAATCGTTCTCTAACCCGAAGGCAGCTGTCTCTGGCTGCGCTGGGAGGCCGGGCACAGATCACTTCTCTCGGGGGAGTGGGGGAAATCTCCCTGGCTCACTTCCCCTTCCCCCCCAAGGCCCGGGGCCAGTGCCCAGGTCCAAGGGGAAGGGCTCCCGTGTGTTGGCGTTGTGAGAATGGGGCGGAACGCAAGCCTTGGGGGGGCAGGAGCCCCTCCACTCCCATCCCAGCTGCCACAGGCACGAGGCCAGACACGGGGCTTTCCCACGCTCAGAGGAGAGGCCTCGCCCAGGGGAAAGCCCAGCAGGTGCCCTCGCTGACAGCTCATGGGTGATTTCTAGGGGGCCTGAATTCCTGTGCTCCCAGGGGAGCTGATCTCAGTGGTCAGCCAGTGACTCGCTGCTGTGTGAGCGCTGGGAAATCGAGCAAGGTCCCAGGGAGGGGGCCGGTGCTGGGACGCTCTGTTCAGCATGGCTCTGGGGAATTCACAGACACCGCCCCGAGTGGCGTGGGGCAGGGATGTGACTTCACCAGCAGCCTCGGGACGGGACCGGAGGAATCTGCTTGGGAGGTAGTTTCCCCGGCAGTACAAGGGAACAAGCAAGCTGCAAGGTGTGGTCCTGCCACGGGGATGGAATGGGACAGGGCCAAAGGCAGGCAGGGGACACATAACTAGCCGCATCCTTTCCTCCGGGGCAGCTCCCACACCCCAAGGCAACAAGGCCATGGGCTGAGACTGTCGCACCTGGTGTTTTATCTTCTTGCTCCTGCATCGAGCCCCTCTCGCTCTGCAGAACGAGCCAGGAACCTGGGCGGCTCCAGCAGCGGGGGCAAGACACCAGCTCTGCGCCCCTACTGCTGCCTGGCTCTGTTTGCAGTGTGCACGGCCCCTCGGTCTGGGCTGCGGAGATTAGACACCAGCCTTGGAGCCGGGGTGAGAGGCAAACATGGGAGCTTTGTAGTGTGTCTTTGCTCTTTGCACCACAAGAAACCACCAGGGCCTGGCCGAGTGTGCAGACCCAGCACTGCTGTCCTGGCTGGGTTGTAAACCACATAACATGGTGAGCGCCACAAGAGGGCTCGCGAGCTATTTAAAGGGATACGACCCAATTGCTAGACATGACTGTTTGCATGGGCTGGAATCAGTCGTCTCTGAGGCCGGTGTTAATCAGGAGTGGCTGCCCTGGCATGAGGGAGGCTGTCCATGAGTGAGTGAGAGGGAAGGGCTTGTGCCGTGAGTCGTGTGACTGTAGTGAACCCCGCGCTGTGAAAAGCTGGGATCGGTGCCGAATGCAGATGCCAGCAGCGCACAGGATGCCCCAGAGGGGAACGGGGAGAGTCCCCAGACTGCGTGGAGGGAGGGAACCAGCCAGTCAGGGGAGATGAGCCCGAGGGCTGGAGGGGAGAGTCCTCTGGGAGCTTTGACTGGCGGGCGGGTGAGTGGTACAAGCCGTCCTGGGACGAAGAGGATGCTAGTGAAGGGCTTGGAAGACTGGGGAGGGGGGAGCCAGGACAGAGGGGACAGAGCCCCCATTCCAGCACCTGCAGGGCTCTCCTCTGCAGTTAAAGCCATGGGGAGGGGGAATGGGGGGGGGGGTTTGCCACCCAGGCCGGAGTGTGCAGGGCGGATACGGCCGAGCCTGCATTTAGCAAGAGCCCTGAGCTGCTGTGGACGAGAGGGGGGAGGAGTCCAAGCCGGGGGCCAGCCACCGAAGGCCGGATTTGTCCCCAAGGGCAGACTAGCCATGAATCTCAGACCTCGTAAGCGCAATTAACTGGGCAGTGACTCCGAGAGCTGCTCAGCCCAGGTTCGAGGGCTGGGAGCCGCGGGGGCAGTGTGGGCCCAGGGTCAGAGCCTGAGGGTGGGGGCGGCCGAGGAGTTTGGGGTCAGTTCCAGGCTGGGGTCGATACCAAGGGTCAGAGTCCAAGTCAGGCGGCGAAGCCCAAAACAAGCCGAGGTCCAGCCAGGAGTTCAGGAGCATGAGACAGGACCAGCCCTGGCAACACCAGGAGATTCACCACGCTGTGGCCCAGACAGTTCCTGGACTGCCCCTTGGGTTTACATAGGGCAAAGAGCCAATCGGGAGCCACGGGACGGCTGCCTGACAACCCCGAGGCAGAACGTCCCATGGGCTGTGCCCACAGAGGGTCGTGGGAAGTGGGGCACAAGCTGCTTACAGCTCTTGTAGCTCTGCAGGGCTGGGTCCTTACAGTGCACGTGTCTTAGCAATTCCATCTCTTCGTTTTCAGGATGAAGTGAAGCTCCCGGCCAAGCTGAGCATCAGCAAGTCTTTGAAGGAGACAGAGAAGGAAGAGGAGGGTGCGGAGGTGCCCGCGGACGAGGACCATGTGGACGAGGACCGCATCCAGCTCTCCTCAGACGAGGAGGTGGAGGTTGAAGAGATCATCGAGGAGTCCCGGGCAGAGCGGATCAAGAGAAGTGGCATGAAGAGGGTGGACGACTTCAAGAAGGCTTTCTCCAAGGAGAAGATGGAGAAGACCAAGCTAAAGACCAAGGAGAATTTGGAGAAGACCAAACACAACTTGGAGAAGACCCGGCACAACCTGGAGAAGAGGATGAACAAGCTAGGCACCAAGATCGTAACCACTGAGAGGAGGGAGAAGATGAAAACCTCTCGGGACAAGCTGAAGAAATCCTTCACTCCCGACCACCCCGTCTACGCCAGGTCCAAGACGGCAGTCTACAAGGTGCCACCCTTCACCTTCTATGTCAAGAAGATCAGAGAGGGCGAGGTGGAGGTGAAAGCCACAGAGATGGTGGAGGTGGGAGGAGAAGAGGCCGAGAACACGGAGCTGCTGAGAGAGGAGAGCCCTGAGATGCACACGCTGCTGGAGATCACGGAGGAGTCGGACGCAGTGCTGGTGGACAAGAGCGACAGTGAGTAGGACGGGCGGTGGCACAGGATGGACGGCTGAACATGTAACCTTTCACACTGCAAGATCTCTCTTTGCCCCACGCGTCCCGGGAAACGTGTACCCAATGTATCATTATTCCTCTGGACGTCCAAGCCGATCCCCCGCCGTCCTGGACGAGGTGTCGTTTATATTTTAGTTTTAGCACACAGAGGAGTTAGGAACACAGGACGGTTTTTCTTACACTCGTTGCGGAGACCATTCCTGCTAGTGGACCTGTGAGAGCTTGCTAGCCGCCAGGGACCCGGCTGGGAGCGTGCTAAAACCAAGATAACTGCTGTACACCTGGGAAGATCCCTCTTTGCAGCTCTCTGAGACCTGATGTCTAGAATGCTTTCTGCCTGGCACACTGCCCAGCGCTGGGGATCCCCCCGTCCATTTGTCAGCCAGAGCCGCCATCCCCACAGGCAGACGGGGAATGCAGGAGCCCAGCCGGCTAGTAGCAGCAGAGAGACATTTCCCACCCCTGCCCGAACGCCAGCTCCTGGGGCCATGTGGTCTGGAAGATCTCCAGTGGAAGGTGGATCTCTGACATGTCTTAGCATGTGGCGAGGGAAGGGTTAAGCCGATCCCATTGGTGGGCAGAGCACGTGTGAGGGTGGGCAATGCCATGTCGGGCTGGGAGGGGCTCCCTGACACTTCTTGACCCCAGAGGGCTGTCACGGAGGCTTGGGG